TTATTTCTCTCCTTCGAAATTTGTTATGATGTTATATATGAATTGTATATCCACATGAGTCTTTATGTGTAAGTGATATGTGTGTATATGGTTTGTTGATTTGATTTAAGAAGCATGCTTAAGTGATTGTATTCTTACCCTATATACTTAATTGTTGAAATTTTATTATTAGTAAGCATGTTATGTTTTTGTAAGAATTTCCTTGTTAAGTATGCAATATTGTTAAGGCTGGATTGTATGAAAATTATGGTATTTGAGAAGCATGAAGCATTCATGCATTTCATTGGGAAAGAAAGGGAAAGTTGTTTTAAAAAGTAATGAAAATTGATTTTGGGGAAAATGTTTTTCAAAAGTGTTTGCGAAAACCCGGGCGCCTAGGAGTTGCCTAGTAGTCCACGGCGTTAGTGTGGTCTAGAGGGGACTAGGGAAAGACCCTAGCATAGTTGAGCTACCTAGGCCCGAAACGACGCCTTGGAGTTGCCATGTGGTTGGGGATAGCTAGCCAATCCTCCTCTCGTGACGCCATAGAGTTGCCATGGGTCGGATTGCACTAACGGTTTAAAAAGGTGAAACGGAATTGTTTCGGAAACGAGGAGCGACATTGGCATGACATTGCACTTCCTTGGCATACATTGTGTGTTTTGCGATTGGATGACCTGTATATGTACTTGTTGTGGCTGATATCCCCTATGGCATGACCCCGTACTTCTTTACTCTATGCGTTATGTGGATTCACGGGGTCATTAAAAGGTGTGTCTTAGACACCTCCTACTGAGCGACTGGCTCACCCCATTATATTATTATCATTTTTCAGGACACGGAAAGGAAGTAGTGGACGACAATCCACCACATGCTTAGTATGGATTAGAGGACTGTTTTGGTTACCTTTTGTAATTAAATTCCATTTTGTAAAACCTAGTATGACATGTATAATTTTGTGGCATGGGGGCCGTAAATGTAACCATTTTCAATTTGTTGTAACTTAAACTAAATGGTTATGGCCATTGAAGCATGTAATAGACTTCATTTTTCTTTTTCTTTGCATCTAGGTATTCCTTGATGGTTAGTAGACTATCACATAGGGGTAGCCTACTGGGGGTTAGTTGACTACCATGTAGAGGTATTCTACTAGGGGTTAGTTGACTACCATAAAGGGATAGTTTGCTGGGGGTTAGTTGACTACAGCACAAGAAAAGAAAGAAGAGAGAAGAAAAGAAAGAAGAGAGAAGAAAAGAAAAGAATGAATTAAGATTTTCCTTATATCTATTCTCGCACCGGACCTTTATAATTAGGGTCATTCCACCAATGTGTACCGGAAGGATTTGTGAGGTATATTAATTACATCTTAACCTTGGAAATGACAGCATTGCCCCTAGATGACCTCGGGTTCGGGGAAGGACCCGGTTAGCGATTCGGACCCCCGAGTTCGGATCATTACAAATAGAATATTGATTGGAGTGATTTATGGTATTGATTTTAGGAATCTTCCATTAATGTATTTTCTAAATTTATCACCTTTATTATTTCACCTACAAATAGAGATGATCATTGTATACAAAGATTAAGAGAGAATATATTATAAAGTGATGTACCTCTTTGGACTCTTTGTGCCGTGGATGTAGGCCCTAATGGCTGAACCATGTAATATCCTTGTGTTCTTCGTGTTTCATTTTTCTTTCCGCTTCCGTTTTATGCTTTACAACATGGTATCAGAGCCTAATTTCTCTTCCTAGGTTCGGACCCCTATTTTGAGGTATTCCCTTAGCATTTGAAATGTTGCTAAAGGTTTCTCAGTGCTATTTATGACTTGTTTGGGCTGCCAGTTTGTTCAGCAGTAATGTTTTTCGCCTTTGCCATGTCTCCGACAGTTTTTATCGACTTATTTGGGCCGCTGGTATGTTCAATAGCATTGTCCTCGCCTTTGCCATGTCTCCGGCACTTTTTATTGATTTGTTTGGACTGCCGATGTATTCGGTAGCATTGTTCGTAACCTTCGCCATGTGTTTGGTGCTATGTGGACTTATTTGGGTTACTGGTGTGTTCGGTAGCATTATTCTTCGCATTCACCGTGTCTCTAGCAGTCTTATTGTCTTTTTCCAAATTGTTATAAAATGATCTGTTTCATGATTTGATATGCAAGCTGAGCGTTATTTCCATACACCCTTCAGCTTGAGGGGGAGTGTTAGAAGATGTTATATTTGAAAAATATTATTATAGGAACCTTGACATAATGTTTGATATGAGAATATCATAGGAGAGATTTTAGCCTATGATACAATATTGAGTAGAGTGATTTATGGTATTAATTTTAGGAATCTTCCATTAATGTATTTTTCATATTTATCATCTCTATTATTTCACCTATAAATAGAGGTGATCATTGTATACAAAGATTAGGAGAGAATATACTATGAAGTGATGTAGCCCTTTAGGCTCTTTGTGCCGTGGATGTAAGCCTGGTGTCTGAACCACGTAATATCCTTGTGTTCTTCGTGTTTCATTTCTCTCTTCGCTTCCGTTTTTTGCTTTACAACAATATCATACTTCATAACAAGAATATCAAGGTTTTCTTAAAATAAACATAATCTACTTTCAGAGTAACCACTGCACACAACACAACCAAGTGACTAACTTAACAAGCAATTTCACATGACTCTGGGTTAAGCATGGCTAAAATTGATCAAATCACATTTATCTACAATTACGGGAATAATAATAAAAAAGGAAAATCCAAATCACCTTATCATTGGGTTAAGCGTTCCTTAAATTTGAATTTTAAATAATTGTTGTATATACTAGCACAACATATAAGTCTCCCATTATCATTAACTATCATTCAAAATGCCTGAAAAGGTGCCGCTGAGTTATTAGCGTAAAGCTCTAACATAAAATCTCAGACAACTCCTACCCTGGACTAAGACTAACCTTGAAACACAGGATTGTGGGACACTTCGCCTATCTAAAAGTACCATGTCACTTCCCAAGGGACTGTGATTGCACCATGATAACAACTAAAGAATAATAAATAAAAGAAAACTATCATTCAGGATTGCTTGTCACAATGAGCACGTCTTATGACTCTTATCCAAGACATTCTTCATTGCTGTCAACATTAACCTACAAGCAGGCAAGTGTCCAAAAAAATCAAATAGGTTGCTCTTCATATTTTCAGCTCTACATCAGTGTGTACTTCAGTTGTTATTTTGTTGATGTTTCATTAGCGCACACAACTTGCAACTGGAACATCTTCCAAACTGTGCAAATCCAGCCGTCTAAGTGTCTAATATTTGAGGGATCATTCAAATTATAATCTCAACTTGTGAATATGGGGTGTCAAGCTGTCACTGGTTTGCCGTTTGCAGCTTTTAAACGTACCTCTTCTTCTTCAGTAAGATACTCCATTTCACCTTGGACTTGTAAACCAAAACACTAATGTTCTGCCATGATTCCTTCATATAGGTGATACTAGCTCTAGTTCTAAGTTCATAAAATAAATTAATGTAGACAAAGTCTCCCTCTGGATTAGTTGGGTAAATGAAACCACTACGAAAGCTCATTATCATGATTTAACAAGCATGTAAACTGAACAAAGCTGATTTTCATCAACATCAAGAAGGCATCATTTTGTCAAGTTACTTCTATCACTGGAGCCTTAACTTAGGAGATACAAGAAGCACTGGACAGCATGTAAAAAGCACGTAGAAGAAGTTAGCTTTTATCTAACTAGCAATGGACTGCATAACTTAGGAGATACAAGAAGCACCTTCAGACCTTTAGAGAGTTGGTTCCATAAAAGGACTTCTTTTTTTTTTCATACAAAAGGAGTGATATGATGTGCTCAGCCCACGTAATCGTCACCAAAAAGCTAAATTTCCTCAGCGGTCGTACAATGGCCACTCAGATGGTTCAAAAAGGAAAAATATAAAAATCTCATGTATGCTTCCGAGGTTTGGACAGTATAAGAAGTAAGTCTCCTACTTTCTGTTTCTCTTGAATCTCATGTCTGCTTCTAAGACTACTTCTACCAAATTACCAGTGGACCATGTATCTTCACGTAGCACCTTGTGATCCTTACAGAGTTGGAACCAAGCTATAAAATATAAATCTCTCCAAATTGTCAATCTGACCCAAACAACATGTTTATCTCAACCCATATAATCATCACCAGCAAGATGAAGTTTCAAAACAATTGTACAATGGCCACTCAGATTGTTGGACACAAAAGAAAGCCACGGCCATTGAAATTAACATACAAGTAGGTCTCTACTTTATCAGTCTTAATAAATCAACTCATGAATACGATCATTTTGAAAAGGGGTTGCTTGGAAAAATTCTATAAACAAAATGGCTAACTTGGAAAATTTGATTCAGCATTGTCATGGTTATAATAAACTAGATGCAATTACAAAAGAGAATTGGATAAGAAATGAATGCATTCATAATTCATGCTAAGCTTGAGATATCACTGATGACAAGAATTAAAGAATATTTCTTGTTGCCGCCAAAAAATTAAAAAAAAACCTTTACACATTTTGGTCCAATGACCAAAAATCTGTTCTAGAAAATAGGAAAATGGACTGTGATAAATTGAGATACCAGCGTACTAAAATTTCCAAATAGTACACGGTTTCTTGGTTCATAGTTCCATAAGAACAATAGAACAACGAATGACACAACATATGATCTAACAAACTAAATCACATAACTGCGACAAAAATTTGAAAATGTGATGAATAATTGGAAATTTCCAAATTTGGTCGGAGATCAAACACTGGCAGTAAGAAATGCATTTGGTTGACCTACATTTCTACAATATGATCCAACAAGAACTATAATAACATCAGATAATGGCCTATTATCACTGAAAATGTAAAAATTTTAAATTGGGTCTCCCTGATTCGAAATTATAAATAAAAAATGAAGAAAACAAATGAATAACAACATATATACACATATATAGAGACAGGGAAAGAGAAATATATAGAGAGAGAGAGACTTACATCGGCGGATTTGGGGGAAGGAACGAGAGTGACGCAGGACAGGCCAGAAGTAGAAGCAATTAAGGGCCCAAAGCCAAGGAAGGAGCAAGAACCCGAAATTGAAGAACCTGCGGGCGTACCCGATTGAATCTTCCTCGGAGAGGCCCAGTGGTCCGTCAATGGTTGGCCACACAGAACCCGACAAAGCAGATGAAGAAGAAGAATTAGGGTTGTTGCTATTGGTGATGTTGTTGACGCTTGGATTGGTGCGAGGAAGTATAAGGCCAGTTGACTCTGAGGGAACGTCCTCTGTTCTCTCCATTCGAAGCTCACGATGCACCTAGTCTCTCCCTCTCCTTGTGTAATATACAAAACTATACACAAGTTCCTCTTCGAACCAAATTCCCTATCGTTTGGTCAGTCCGTAAAAATAGCTTAAATTTTGAAGTGAGGATAATGTTGCTCATTGCATATCGTAAAAAAAAACAGTAATAAGTGGTTAGGTTTCTAAAATACTTTTTTAATGTTGACTTTATTCTTAAAAAATTTTGACTAATCTACACACACTTCTCTTATAGTTTGTCATAATTATAGAGGCTCCCTCTAGTTTAGAAATTTACAATAACCTTTCCTCAAAATAAAACTAACCCATATGAACCTTCCCTCCTAGTGACGGACTGTCAAATGGCTAACGGACCTATTTAATTTACTAAAATACTCTCAAATTATTATAGTAAATGATTGAGCTACCCATATTCTTTTGTGTTTGTGTGTGTGTTTGAAAATGCATATGTGGCTCAATCTCTCTTCTCTTATGCTCTGTTCGTTAGGAAGGAAAAAAATTGGATGGAAGGGAAAAAAGAAGGGAATGATGAGACATCCCTAGGGAAGATATTATGAACTTCCCTTATTTTATTCGGTTGGATGGAAGAGAAGAGAAGAACCTACCAAATTCCTTTGTTTGTTAGGAGGGAGGGAGGGAGGATAGAATTTAAATTTATTTTTACCATTATACCCTTCATTATTTTTTTTCTAGTTATCATCTTTGTTACTCATTTGAACAGTACCATTAATTTCATGACAATTTGTTATTTGCTTTATTTATATATACATATATATATGTATATATATAAAATCATATTTCATCATGAATAATAATAATATAAAAAAGTACCCCACTATCTACTTGACAAATATTAAACAGGCTAATGGTTGATAAATGTTAAACAGGCTGATGGTCGGCAAAACACTAGACAAGTACATATATGTCTACTACAGTGAGCAATTGGTCAATCAAATATTTATTTCCTATTAAAATTGCACCATTTGTAGTCATATAAACTGCCTTCAACCATTTAAAATGACAAACACTTGCCAAAATCAAAATTCCAAAAGACATAACTAAAATCCACCATTCTTATGAAAAAAAAAAAAAAAAAACACATTAATGTCAAAGAATGAAAAAATAAAAAAAAATAGAAGAAGAAATCCGGTGAAGTTGAAGACTCCAAAACAATAAACATTCAAGAGTTGGTTGAAGTTAAAGACTTCAAAATAATAATCATTCAAGGGTTGGTTGCATCATCCATCATCTTGTACAATCCTTGCGTCTCTCAGATGGCACGGCAAAGAATACACTTTTGTGAGTCTGACTTTTAATAAGAAATATCAATGCATCCAACTGAAGTTCCTCAGGTACCCCAATGTTCAACAATTCTGCAAACACTTCATCTTCTGAATAGTAACGTGGTCGAGCTCTCTCAGAAATAGCAATTCTTTTTTCTGCCCTCTTTCCGCAACAAGATTTCCCTTCTCGATTGCCTCTGCTACTTTGTTAATTCCACCCCCGATAACTTCACACTCTTTCTCAAATAAATTAATCACCGACTCCTTTCTTTTTGTGCCCCTTGAAGATGTAACAGCTTCTGAATTTGGTTCAGAAGATGCACCCATGGGAGAATTTTTTTCATTGTTGTTTGAATTTTTATTAGCTTGGTTCGAACTTCCATCTCTTCCCCATCCTTGAACTTTTTCTTTTGCACTTACAGCACCATCACCATTAGCTCTATCTTTTGCAAAAAGATCATACAATTTCTTATAAAATTTTATTTTAGTATGCCTCCATTTTGATGCTGATGGCTTTGCCTGCAAAATGTTTCTAATAAATAAATAAATCATAACTACAATATTTGTTCTATAAATAATTTCATACCTCTATAAGGGCCTTCCAAACTTCGAGTTCTGCCTCGAACAATTTTGTTTCTGGACTCCATGAAAATCCACTTAAATTTTTGAATAGATCATAACATGTATTGAAGTTAAGTTTCAAGGTTTTCATCCGGTTTTTTATGTGGTCCTTATCAAATGGATAACCAATTTTTTCAGTGCATTTTTTTATGACATTTGAATATGCTGTAGAGGTGAATGTTCCATCAACTCTATTACCATTTTCTTCTTGCTCCAACAATGCATCAATTAATACTTCATCCATTTCTTCTGTCCATCTTAGTGCATCCTTCTTATTTTCAGTTGCGTTCATATCTTTATTCGCTTTCTTCATCATTTTCCAAGTCTGCATTTTTCAATGTCATATGAAAAATAATTATAAGAAACAATTAATCACATCAACAGATTAACACAAAAATTTCACCACATCAGAGAAGTCACACAGACTATAAAAATGTAGGAGATTTTATTGCTCTACTAATATGACACCAATAGATATTAAAATAGTTAAATAGGGAAAAAAAAAAAAAACATAATTATGCTCCATGTCCTAAATAATCCTCCCACATGCTAGCTGCTATTGAATTCCTTATAGCTGCTCCTTCGATAGCATCTACTTCATTATTACTTGTATCAAAGTCTTGTCCATTGTCTAGATCAGCATTAACATGATCGCGATCAACTTCTACAATCAATCTTTCATCCGGATCAACACCCATTAGATAATTATGAAGTATACAACAAGCCAATACAATTTCTGTCACGGTGTCAACTCTATAATGAGCTTCTGCCCCACTTGAAATAATTGGAAATCTCTTTTTTACTACTCCAAATATTCTTTCAATTACATTTCGTAAAGAAGAATGTCGGTGGTTAAATAACTCTTCCATATTCTCTGGTGCACGTGATGAGTACTCTTTCAAGTGGTAGGGCACACCTCTATATGGTGTAATCAGCCCACTGTTTAGCATGTAACCTCCATCCACTAGATAATATTTACCTATAGCAATACGTAATAAAAAAATCATTTATTTGTTTAAAAATTAAAAACTATATATTATTGTCTTTGAATTACCTGTAGGGATGATTAGTTTATCTTGATGCTCTTTTAGTGCATTTTTAATTATCCTTGAGTCAGTTGCAGTGCCTTCCCAACCTGGTAAAACATACGTAAACTTCATGTCGAATGAGCATGCTGCTAAGACATTTTGTGTTGGGTAGTCTTTTCTTCCTTGATATCTCAGTGCATCTGTTTTAGACACTTTGACACGAATATGAGTTCCATCTATTGCTCCTACACAGTCCTGAAATTATTGAAAACACTTCTATAATTTTCATATATGGATATAACAATGTGAATTAGTGGTTTAACATTCTGTTATCTTGAAATACGGATATAATCTATTGCTGTAGAGTATTTCTGGAGGGACGTCTGAACCACTTGGTTGTTGTTGAAAATTTTCTTCTAATGTGATTATTACTCTTAACACGTCATGGAAATGACGACTAATAGTGTCACCGGATCAGCAAAAAAAAAAATCGAATGGCACGGTTTTTCACATTATGTGCTAATATATAGAGAAACTTGGCCACTTGCTCCTCGACTAAAGCATTTTTATTGTCCTTGAGGCAACCAGTGCCACGGAGTATATGGCACAACTTGGCAGATGCATGTGGCCCCATACGAATTATGTCACGACAATTTTCATTTGAAGCAAGTTTATTCATTAGTTGTTCTCTTGCTCTTTGTTTGTCTTCATTGATGTCGTTGATAGGCCTATCTATATAATGTGAACGGAATACTTCTCCCATCAAATAAAGAGCATAAACAACATAACAAATTACTTTTACCGCTGCCATTCGCCGTCGTTGTTCCTAAGCATTCAATTGCCCTACGCTATCTTCCCACCAATTTTCTTCGCCACACTCATCTAAATTCTCCTCTTCATTCTCATGCCAATTATCATGTATATTTTCTCCAAAATTATCATGCCAATTATGTTCCTTGTCCATTTACCAAAGAAATGTCATTTGTATCTAAATAATTAGTGAAACAGTTATTCAAATCACACACAATGTTATAAAGGTAAAATGTTTAATTACTATATATATATATATTTCTCCACAGTTATACAATTATTTAATAAATGTTTAATTAATATTTTTATTTATTAAATGGAACTGTTTAGGCATTTGATGGACAATGAAAACCTACCCACAATTTTTGATGGATTTGCAGAAACATGAACATTTCAGGTTCTTGTGTCTTCCTTATTTATGTTATTTTCTATGATGGTAGTTTTTGTAATGATTGTTAGAACACCAACTATTCAAGTTAATTTATGTAAGAACTACAGAAACATGATGGGGTTGCGATAATTTTCTACATTATACTAAAATATCTGACTTGTAGAAACAAGCTCTTCTGCTATTGTGTTGAATTGTGTATTCAAGTATTTGTGATCAGATCTGTCATCCTTAGATTTTTAACCTATGCTCTGTTCGTGGTCAGAACAGTTTAGCGTTTCATAAAGCACTCTCAGAGCAACCTAAGGATCCTTTGGTAGTCACTGCATTTGGCCTTGCCGTCCACAATGGTGGAGATATGTCGGAAGCCTTAAATATAACGAACAGTATCTCTAGAGCACATGAAGACATCTTAAGTTAATTTATTAGAACCTCAGAATTTGAATTCTGATGCACTGGTGGATGAGGTTATGAACAGTATCTCAAGAGCACATATGTTGTATCTATTATTTTAAGTTAATTTATAAGATAATATAGAAATCCCATATTGTAGATTATCTAAAGTTCATACGCAGCATAGCAAATAGCAGATTAACATCCGATTTCAAAATTTTCACCTTGCATCAATAGCAATATATATATATCTATATATATAGATAACACATGAATCAAATCTACTTGTAAATATTGTCGATCTATGTATATGTATAGAGAAGAGAAAGTGCAAGAAAGAGTTTCTTACCTTCGTGAGAGAGATCGCTAGAGAGAGTTCAACGTGAAGGTCAATTTTGTTTCTTGATAGGGTTTTGCGTGAGACGAGATGTGTACAGGGTTTATTTTTTAATTTTTGGGAAGGATTTAATAACTCCACTTGTTTTCTCTCTTGTCTTCCGCCCAAATTTGGGCAGATGAAAATTTATAAAGAATGAGGGATAAGCCATCCC